GTGGCAGTCACAGCTTCAGGGCATGGAAGAGGCTGCAGGTGTGTGTGTGGGGAAAATGGAAAGCTGAAGAGAGAGAGGGAAATAAAGGTAAGTTGATGATTGGCTGTGAAGGAGATAGGGTTGCCAATTCCAGTTGGGAAATTCCTGGAGATTTGAGGGATGGAACTTGGAGAGGGTGAGGTCTGAGAAGGGATGGGGTTTCAGACAGGTACAATGCCATAGACTCCACCCTCCCAACCAGCCATTCCCTTCTGGGGAACCACTGTTACCAATCTCAGGAGAGGGGTGGAAATCACTCAGAATTACTTTCCCCCCACGTATATTTTTATTAGTTTTTTTCTTTTTAGACTCAATTTCTTACATTTCCTCCCCTTAACCTCCCTTTGTATGTCAGTCAAGAGTTACAGTTTAGACAGTTGATGAGGACAGTTAAACAGGGAGAGTTAAGTTCTGTCTCTAAGAGATGGAGACACATCCCTGTGTGGGATAAGTTGGTCCTGTGTATGAAAAGAGTGAAGCAGTCTTGTATGATATAAGAGTTCTGAGTTAAATATTTGTGTGTGAAAGGAGAGACATTCAGTTCTGTGTTATAGGAGTTATAAGCTGAAAGCTGAGAGTCTAGGAAACAGTAAAGATTATATGGACTTGAAGGAAAAGTGTTACAAAGTTACCTATGAAAAATCCCTGTCAGGGAGCAAACTGTGTGTTATGGTTCTACCCTCATATTTATGCTTTATTTAAATAAATCCTATTTCATTCAAGCATACCAGCTCTGAAATAAATACATCCTGAGGAACACATAGTCCCTTGAAAGCCTAAAGACCCGACCTACCTACCCAGTGATAAAAATATTATATTATAAAGGTTTGGAAAGCCTTAAATTTCCTGGTGGCAGCCAGATATACAGAGTAAAACAAAACAGAAAGAACATTTTAAAGTAAAACCAGACCTCCCCAGTTAAGGGGACGTCACAATACCATTCTCTTTTTATATTCTTTTCTTTCTTTATACAGTATCCTCTTATTACCGCCTTGGCGGCATCCCATAATATATTAGTAGGTACCGTCCCTCTATTTTCTTTAAAGTATAGACATCTCTTCCTCCATGTATTTTCTATCTTCTGCTTTAATCATTATTACATTATTATATCTCCATGTTCTTTTTGTGTTAACTTGTTTTATTTCAAGTTCAATACTTATAGGTGTGTGGTCTGATATCCAAATTGGATGAGTTTGTCTTTTATAACCATATTATTATTATTTTCTAAGATTATATAGTCTATGCATGATGGTGTTTTGTGTCTACTAGATATGTGTGTAGGAGGGGGAGGAGATGCAAAGCTGAAATCAGAGGGGCAGATAATGGCAGGTTGATGCTTGGCTGGGAAGGAGATAGGATTGCCAACTCCAGGTTGGGAAATTCATGGAGATTTTAGGAGTGGAGCCTGGAGAGGGTGAGGTTTGAGGAGGGGTGGGACCTCAGACAGGTACAAAGCCATAGACTCCACTCTCCAAATGAGCCATTCCCTCCTGGGTTACAGTTGTTGCCAATCTCCAGGTGAGGGCTGGAGATCACTGAAAATTACAACTGCTCTTCAGGTAGCAGAGATCAGTTCTTCTGGAGAAAATGGTTGACTCTGTGTCATTATACCCTGCTGAGGTCACCACAGCATATTGACACTGAGTGCCCAAGGCCTTGGCACTCTCCCAGAGCCTCTTTCTAGAGCTCATTGTATTTATTTCCACAATGGGCCGTATTCGTAGTAAATAAATAAATCCACACATTCAATAAATCCACACATTCAAGGGGGCTGTGGACTTTTGTCTCTCAAATGGCAGCTCCCATACTGCACTACTAGGCTCTTTTGGCTGGCAGGAGGAGTGGGTAGTTAGGTGAAGACTATTCAGGCCAGAAAAGGGGATAGATCTTCTAGTGAGAAAATAATTTCCCTGCCCAGTTGGAAAAGGGTGATAGCTCTGAGTAGTGGAATGATCTATGGTCTGTTTTTTTTAGAAACTGCCTTTTAAATCCTGAGGAGTCAGTTAAAAACTCAATACAAGTACTGGTGTGTTTAATTCGAGTACTGGACAGAGTATTCTTGTCTTCTCGAAACCAAAAGAGCCAAATACACTAAAGAAAGTATACTGGAGTGTTTGGGAGACACTGAAACAAAAGCCTCTTGTTTTCAAGATTCTAAGTCACTGTGAAAAGCTTACGAAACTCTCAATTGCTTGAAACATATGAACTGTAGTCAGTGCCTGTACTGATTTACCGTAAGAGTTCTTTATTGATTTAGCTCTGACCTTTTACCTCTAATTTTACCTGACCTTTCCCGTCTATGTTGATTAAAATATTTTATTTTTGAACTTTAAAAAGCCTCTCGATTGCCATTTCAGTAGTTAAAGGAGTGAACTTATTCCTTCCCTCAGGTTCTAGGGCTGAGCCAGCAGCAAAATATCACAGTGTAACAGGGTGGGACAGCCATGGTTCTTCAGAAAGGAAGAAAATAGATAAAAGGGGCTGCTCAGAAAGGGAAAGAAAAACGGAGGGAAAATCTTGCCTGTGAGGGAGGGAAGTGGGCAAGGTCATCCTAGCTGTCACTGTGTGGTCCTTTTCATGACAACATAAAGTGAGGTGGTCCCTGCTCCAAGTTGTTAAACATTCAAAAGTAGGGAAGACTACAGATGAAGGAGACAGTCAATTTGAAAGTAGATTCCTAATTTATTCCTCGGGGATGGCATGTAGTGCTTCTTTCAGAGTGTAATTTTTGACCTGACTCTCATCCTATTTACTCTCTTTTATCTTGCCTTGATATAAAATAGGACTATGTGGTGCTTCAATTGGAAAGGAATGATATAAGGCAGTACTCTGGGGCACTGTTGAAACAATGCATTGTCTTTAGAAACATTTACTTTATGGGGTGAATTATATCAAACTGATGGAAATCTTGTTGAATTTACACAATTGCAAAGCTTGTGCAGTATTGCTTCATCTCCCCCCCCCCCATTTTAATGTAGATGATTCTTGAAGAGCCATTACTCTGAATTAAGTTTATGGGGAAGCTCATTATGAATACTTTTCTGTTCCTGTGTAAAATTATTTTAAAAACCCCAAGGATCTAAAATTAAAAGGCTGGGAACTGAAAGCAGCACAACAAAACAATCCTCTTGTTATGATCACCCAACTATCCTTTATTGCAGAATTTCAGATTTTTTATTTATTTATTTTATTCTACTTTTATCCCACCCTCCCCCGCATAGCAGGCTCAGGGTGGGTTACATCACATTTAATAAAATACAGTATATTTCACCTATGCAGCAATAGAAATGCTGGTTAACATTGTTCTGAGGCATTGGATTAGAACATCATTTCTTGCCATTGCTAGATCTGAATAGGGTGCCAGGCAATGTTCCCTCTAAGCTGTGGAGTCTTGTGAGCAAAAATTCTAGTTTGTGAGTTACCGGCCTTAAAGTTGTGAGCAAGTGATTTGGCCACTGCATAAATTTGTTTGCTCTGGAGCCATCATTCCTGAGCTAAGGCAAAAATGTGTGAGCTGGAGGCTAAAAAACTGTGAGATAGCTCACACTAACTCAGCTTAGAGGGAACACTGGTGCCAGGTCCTACCTGGCTGCTGGCAGGAGATCTAAGCTCCGGTTCGGTATATTCTGGTGCACGCACGAAACATGCTCACCAGGATGACATCACTCAGAAGTGACGTCATCGTGTCAGGAATGATGCTCTAGTTTTTGGGCAAAACTCGATGGTTTTTTGCCTTCAAAACCATAGAATTTGCTCAAAAACTAGAGTGTCACCCTGGTATCCCTGTCGTGATGACATGACTTCCAGGTAATGTCATTGTGTCTGGGATGTCACCCGACAATGTCCCTGTTTGGGGGTGGGGCTTCCCCTGCCAGCCAGTTGGCCTGTGGTGGATCAGAGCCTCCAAAAGCGGGAGAACCCTGATGGGGAACTGGGGGCTGGCCACCCTAGACACACACACAAAACCTTTATTGGCATTGAAAGCACAAAACATCATGGAAATACAGCAAAATACTAAGATGCATCAGTCACTTACACTTGCAATGGAGAGAGAAGCGGAGTGCGTATTTTACAGGAAAGGTTTTAGGATTACAATTTATTTATTTATGTTATTTGTAGTCCACCTTTCTCACATGGACTCAAGGTGGATTACACATAGTGAGTCAGTACAATCAACAAAATGGGAGATTCAATAACTAATGCATTAGAATATTAGAAGATTGGAACCACCAGAAAGAACAGGAGCATAGCATAAGTATTAACATGACACATTAAGCAGTACAGAAACTACATAATAGGATCCTACTTTCAATATGCTATATACAGCAGTACAAGTCCCAATCATTTATCCAAATAAGTTTGTGAAACCATTTTGTACTCTGCAACCAGGGGAGTGGGAGCTTTCCTGACCTCTTCAGGTAGGGCATTCCACAAGGTGGGAGCCACAATGGAGAAAGCACGTGTATAGGCCATTGTTGTTTTTGCCCATTTGCAGATTGGGTCCCTGCAGAGACCTCTGCTAACATGAACGGCATTGTTGTGGCACAGCACAGAGAGATAAACTGGTCCCTAAATAAGATAGGCCAAGACCACAACGGGCTTTATATGTGATAGCCAATACTTTACATTGAGCTCGGTAATAAATGGGCAACCAATAGAAGGTTTTGCAGAATGGGAGTAATATACGCACTCTGTCTAGCTCCCACTAATAGTTAAGCCACGGCATTCGGGACAGTCACTTTGAACATGTGAAGTATGCTATCTGAATGCTAACAATTATTATTTTATATTACTACTTCATGAATGCTTGCATTTAAGGTTGTATTTTACAGCACATATTTATTCATTTGTTTACTTATGAACTCATGTCTGAGTGTGAAATATTTATCTAGACAGCAAAATTTTAGAACCTGGCCTGTTCCATTTGTGATGTTCTTACATGTTTCTCTTTTGTTTTGTAGATCAGTCTTACTGTGATCGTTTACAACAGGACATGGCTTTTCTAACAAGCAATGGCAGACTGAGTGAGCAGTTGGTTGACAAAATTATCCTTCAGTTAAACAGAGTTTATCCTCAAATTCTTACCAATAAAGAAGCAGAAAAGGTAACTGAAACTGCAGGGTTGCTAGGTACGACTTATTTTTTCCCCTGTAGCTAATGGATGTATGAGATAATTGACTGGTTAGTGATTAGGGTTGCCAGGGTTTTTTTAAATGTAAAAATAAATTGGTGCCTGATGAGACCAGAGGAAGTTGAGTGCAACAGGTCTGACGATGAAGTATGTGCAAAAGCTCACTCTGTAAAGTGTACAGCTATCGCACGTCCTTATAAGCCTTCCCTACCCATACATGATACCCGTTCCTCAGAAGTCCATCAGACACAATTCAGACTACAACTGTGATATAAGCAGAACTGAATAAAGCATAGAAACATTACTTGAGGCAAGCCGATCCGGCGAACATGGTGGCAGCTGACGGCGAAAGGCAGCAAGCGACCCGGACAGTGATTGGCCTGGAGGGCACGGTGACGGGGTGATGCAGCGTGGTCGGAGCCTATGAGAATGGAGACCAGCCACTGCAGCCATCACACAGCCATGCGCTGCGCGGACCGTGCCTGAAGGAGTCGCTGCGAAAAGATCAGACCTTCACTGAGAAACCGCCGCCTGGAGACCAAAGATCCCTCCACGGAATGGAACAACATAGAAGAGCTCTGCTGCTCAGGTGCCCGGTAGGCACTCACCCTCCCCTGTACTGTGGCCCTAGTCAGGTGAAACTAAGAATGCTCTGTAAACAGTTCCGAGCCTTCGGGAAAGAGCGGTATATAAATGTAATATGTAATTTAATGTACTGTTTGTGTCATATGTTTAAGCAAGTAAGCCTGCAGAAGATGTACCACAAAATTCTTACAGTTGGAGAATATTGAGGCTGAGGCTAGTCACCAATATTATTAATGAACCCCTGGCAGAGGATTCTAAACACCAGCAACCCTTTGTTTTATCCTGGCCTTGCAAGAGGGGATTACAAAACAATAAAATGTCAAAAACCCGACACAAAACTCACCTAAAAATACTGAAAGTTTCTACTGAAACAGGAATTTAAAGGAGAACAAACTGTACAGCATGAATAGGAAGTCTTAGATTTAGGTAAAACCTTTGTGTTGTATTCTTGTGGACTCTGTTCAGAGACTGCATATCTGGATTCCTTTTGCTGATGGACCAACAACTGGTGTGGGCTGTTGTTGTCTGCAAACTCTGTCTGTGGACTTTCCTGAAACTCCATCTGGCTATTGTTGGAAACAGAATGCTGAATTAAATAGACACTTTGTTTTGGATCCAGGTCGTCTCTTCTTATGTGGCATGTAGTGTGGCTTGCCGGCTCTTTGTATCAATATAGTGTAGTGGTTAAGATTCTGAACTACGAAGTGCCTGGTTCAGATTTTGCCTGAACCGCAAACTTTTTTGATGGCTTTAGGCAAGGTATGATAGCACCTGTCTCATGCTATGTCTATGACATCTTTCCACCACTCCTCTGCTCAAAGTCATTCCCCTTCCAAAGTTGCTTTTCTTTACAAAAGGAGCCTTCAGGGCTTTTTAATGTGTATTTTGCATTTAATGGAAATTTTGCTGCTAAATCTGAGCATCTGGATTCCTCTTTAGTGCTGAATTTTTACTCTTTCAGTTCTTTGTTATTACAGGCACTGAAAAGATGACCTCTGCTGCTTGTTTTCCCTATGGATCCCTGACAGACGATAAAGTCTGTTACGATAAAGTCTGCAACAGCCATTTGTCACATCAGTAAAGTATCACAGACTGTTCATGTGGAATCATATGTAGCTGTGTTTAGCAAAAATGCAGAGCTAGCTGTGTCCTCTTTCATGTGTTGTAGAAACATAGAGATTGCTTTCGTTGTATCCATTGTGTTGCAAACCAGGGTTTGGCTTCTCTCTAATCAAGGCTTTTTGCCTGCAGTTTCGAAACCCGAAAGCTTCCCTTCACAATCGATTGTCGAGTCTGATAGCCTACTTGCAGAAGAAAGGTGACAAGTCCTGTCAAGAGTTTTACCGTGCTTTACAAATCAACGCTGAACAGCTGTATAACAACTTGCCAAGCAGGAAAATCCTCAGTAAGTTGGAACTTCAGCAGCTCTCTCCAGTTCCTGTGTGACAAGATAGCCTCCCCTCTTCATATGTTCTGACTAATTTCTTTTCAGGAACCAAGCGAAATGTTTTACATGCTGTTTCCAATCCATTTTCAAAGCTCCCTCAATAATATGGTGACCTGATATTTATTCGGGCATATAACAGCTCTGTTTCTGCACTTGGTAGTTTTAAAATCTTTTAAAAAGAAAGGAAAAAAAAAGATCTGGCAAGACTATGTCTACTCTTTGTGCAGCTCTAAAATTAGGTCTCGGATTACTACTAACCACGTACTTCTGATTCATAATTAATTTCTGGAACTTGTCACTGCAGAATGGGGTGAAGGGTCCTGTCATAGTTGGCTTTAAAAGGAGATCTGACAAATTCATAGATGATAGAGTTATCAAGGGGTAGCAGTGATGGCTAACAAGAAATTCCATGTTCAAAGTCAGTGTGATGGACCAGGAGGCTTTGTGATGAACAGAAAGTGCTGCTCCAACATCCAGTCACCCTTCAGAAGGGATTTGGAATGTTGGAGGGAAGCACAGTAGGAGATTAGTTCAGGTCTACTGTTGAGTGCAGAGGGAGTTGAGTTTCTGCCTCAGGCACAGTAGGACATTAGTTCAGGTCTACTGTAAGGAGAGTGCAGAGGGAGTTGAGTTTCTGCCTCAGGGATACAGCGGAGAGAGCTCAGGTCTGGCTCAGGAAAAGAGGAGACAGAGGGAAGGTGTGACGAACCCCCCTTATTTTAGGGTATGAGGGGTTTTGCTCCTTTAACCTTTCACAGGCTGGAGCAGTCTTATTTTTCACTGACACTGACTCTGTTTGACCAGGAACCCACCCAGTTTGTCATTCTGTCATACACCCAGCCACTTATCGATGAAACCTTTTTATAAATATTAATCTCTGTGGCTTTTCATGAACACTGCCCTTTTTCTGCGATTATGTGGTTTAACTTTGTCAGATGTTTCACTTTGTCAGACACTGAGGCACATGTGACTGGGAACAATAAAACAAACTGAAGATTTTATTTACGCAGGCAGGCAGGCAGGCAGGCAGGCAGGGAATATGCATACAGGAGAAAAGCTTATGCTTGTGGAGGCGTTGTTTCAAATGGTGTAGTTCAGCTTTAGGTCAGTTCATTTATAACCATTCACTTCAGATGCCACAATACAAAACACGCTCTCTCTAATATCACCCCTGTGCTGTTCTAGACTGTCAGTTTCTGTGTGGATTTCTCAGGTACTCTCCACCTCCACAGAGAAATACCTTTGCAGTGCCTTGGTTTCTGGACCCCCACTAGTCCACTAAACCCTCCTGGCACACACTACATCCACTAAACCTGACTCTCTCTCCAGCAGGGTATAGATCTTATGTGAGAGGTACGTGAATCTCTTGTTTAACTCCAAGGAGCTTATTTTCCTTTTAAGACTCCTTAGTTTTCACTGTAGTATAGTACTACTTTTGGCTCTTCTCGGGGTCCCTTAATATTGCAATCTGTAGAGAAGGTTCTTTTCCTCCTCGGACTCAGAGATGTTCAATAAGACTTCTCAGTCCCCTGACACAGTACCAACTGACTGAAGCCAACTGACAGTCTCAGCTGCCAAATTCCAACTGTTATGAGTCCCCCCCTCCATTAGAACTTCCCCTGAGTTCTGCATCAGGATTATATCACCACTGCTAGTCACGAGACTGCAGGTGTCTTTTCTTGCAGACTGATCTCAAGCCTGGAGTCCATCACAGAAGGGTAGCTCTGCCCAGTAGTGTGGCAGGGTGGATTAGCTCTACTTCTGAGAGAGAATAGAATACTTGAATGTTAGGCCTGTCTCTAGCAATGAGCAGACCTTGTGCCATTTAGTCTGACTCTTGGGAAAGGGCAGGCTGTTGCGTGGGGAATCCCATGTGTGAGAGAGGATCCAACCCAGTGGCTAGTCAGTAAAAGCCTGTTTGTGCCGGAAAGTATTAAAGAAAATCCAAACTACTCTTTGAAGCCATAACAAGTTTAAATTAATATGCCTCAGCCAGGTTTCTCCTTTGTCTACCTGGAGACCTGTGTTGCTTATCTGTTCCTTGAAACCAACTTGTAAATAAATGAATTTTCTCTCTTGTTAATATACAGTTCCTGCCTCTGTGATCTCCATGTTCTATTGGCTCACCACTAAATTTACATCGTTCATTAGAAAAGAGCAAGAGTCTGGTAGCACCTTAAAAACTAACAAAATTTGTGGCAGGGCATGAGCTTTCATGAGTCACTGCTCACTGCTTCAGATAGGAAGAAGTGAGCAGTGACTCAGGGTGCGTTCAGACGAGCAGCTAATCCCACCTAATCCCAGTTTGAATTTGATCCTGATCTTTTTAACCCATCGTAGCACGACCAGGCATCCCCCTGGTGAATCGCCTCACTGTGAGCTGCCTCTGTTGTGGATTGTCTAGACGGCGTCTGCTGAAGGAGGCGTGCGCGGTGGGGTTGGGGGGGGCATGCGCATAGGCGTCACAGTGCATCCTTGTTGAAGGAGGCGCACGGTGGGTTTTTTAAAGAAAACTTTTTGCGTATGCGCATAGGCGTGACAGCGCGTACTTGTTGATTTGCGCATAGAGATTTTTTCAAATGGCGCCCGCTCGGGATGGTCTGACGTCAGACCACCCCGACAGGAGGATTGTGCGCTGGTGGAACGATCAGAAGGGTGAAAGTCCGCAGTTGTCCCGCAGGTAACCGAAAACTCCAGATTTAAAGTGGTATCTTTTAAGTACGGCTCCTAAGCACAACAAAACGGGATGCCCACAGAAGAGGGACATTTCCCAGATGTTTGTGTCTGGACATTACCTTTAGATCCGTGAGGCAATCGTGCCTTGCACGGATCTAAAGAGCCATCTGATCGGACACTCAGGAAAGCTCATACTCTGCCACAAATTTTGTTAATCTTTTGAGGTGCTACTGGACTCTTGCTCTTTTCTACTGCTATAGACAGACTAACTTGGCTACCCATCTTGATCTACCTCACAGCAGCGAACCCAAAGCTTATATACTCACTCCCTTTACAATGCCTGGTAACTATGGGGATGTCTTATAGTTTAAAATTAATCTGGTTCCTCAAATATCATAGGAGGCTGTGTGGGTCCCCTCAGAACCAGCCTGTCATAGTTAATATGCCTCAAGGGACAGGTTTGGCCTCTGTTTCTGCCTGTGGACCTCCTGGGGTGTCTGGTCTGGAGAAAACAGGATGCTGACATAGGTGGGCTGCTGCTCTGCTTCAACATGACCTTTTTAATGTTCCTATTTATCCAGAAACAAAACTGAGGCTTTGAGTGTTTCTTGTCGTCCAAATCTTTTCCTACATTTTGCACAGGATTGAAACCAGACAAAATAGGAGCAGGGACTGATTTGGAGTTTATTATACTGGAAAACATAGTAAGCAACTTACCTTCCACCAGGAAGAAGAACTAAATATTATAGGTTCTGTGTTTCTCCATTTATATTTCTTCTAAAGGCAAATGAATTTACAGGAACCCAGGCAGGGCATTTATCATTCTTGTTTCCAAACTTTTTGACAGAAAGTACAAATAAGAAAATTCTGTTCATCTTTGGAGAAAGGAAGTAAACTGTGATGAGATAGAGACACACCAGCCTCAGACAAGTCTGCAATCTGTTTATTTAGGAATATTTTACCATGTCCACTTAATTTTTCCCACCTGAGAGATTTATGGTGCCATCCCAAGCATAGTCACATCCTTCTATGCTCATTTACTTCAGTTGACTTAGCATCGCACTGTTATACTTCTGAATACAAATAATCTCTCTACTTCTAATTATGTGTGCACACATACCTGGAGAATGCTAGAGAAGTATCATATGTGTTTTTAGCAGTGTTCTTGCAGGTGATCTGTGAAGTCTGAATTGCCTTGTGGTAGGATTTTAAGTGTCTAATACATGGTTAAGTGATCAGTTTGAGGGAGTGATCCTCCCACTCTGCTCAGCTAAGTGCAGAGATTTTCTCTGGTAGAAGAAGCCTCCTCTCCTCTCCTCTCCTCTCCTTCCCCTCCCCTCCCCTCCCCTCCTTGTGCTGGAGAAAGTCTGTGTATCTCATGGAGCTGAGTGGTGAGATTCTTTTTCATTTGAGTTTATAACTACTGAACATATATCTCATTTTTATCCAGCATCTCAGTCCTTAGTCTGAAAAATAGGCCCAAGCTTTACATCTACCTGCTCTTAGTCTCACAGTCTAAGAAGGTTGCTTCTGCCTTGTAGTTACTAACAGCATTCAGGCAGTTCAGGCACCTGGCTTTTGCAAAGACATTCAATAATTCATCATCTCTGCTTGCTTAATTTAACCTGCTTAAGATACCAGGTCATAGGGCAAATGTTCTTTTCTGCACTGAGCCTGTGGCCATTTGACAATATGAGCTTTGAAGGCAGGGCTGGGAAAACACGATCAGATGCTGAGATGCCAGTGTATTAGATGTTAGCCCTGCATGGATATGGAAAATAATTTTCATTGTCTTGCAGCAGGCATGCAGTTTTTCAGCAGCTGCCATTTCCTGCCTGTTGCCCTGTTTTAAAAAAGCTTGTTTCTTACCAGTGCTGTTTGTTCTACTGCCCTGCAATTACATATTTCTCTATTTTCTTTCCAACAAACTAGAACAAAAAATGGCAACTTTAAGTGCTGATTGTGAAGTTTGATACATACCTTTTGTGAGATCTGAGCAAAGATGGACAATGTATAAACACTGGGAATATGATGGACAGTTTCAAGTTTTACCCTCCTGGAGCCTCAGCCGATCACTTTCAAATGGTGGATTGGAATGTTGAAACGTAAAGAAAAGTAGGGGTCTGGCAGTTAAACTGTTGGCCAGCTGACAGAGTCGGGGGCAGTGTTCCCTCTAATTCACCCCCCACCCCGCTGAGTCTGAATCAGTCAAACAAGAAAAGGAAACAAAAGGTGGTAGAAAAGGAAACAAACACCCAAACCACTAATACCATTGACATAAA